TTTAATTATTTTTATTTCCAAACTGATTTTAACCAGTTCTATAGTAAGGTAACATTCCAATAGACAATATGCAAAGCTTTTTTTTCAGTTTACAGCAGTATTTATTACACAAAATTTAAGTAAAGCTTAACATGCCGATCTTGCCCCGGTCTCCCTATTTAAATTTTTTTCATATTAATTAAAGTAAGATTTGATAAAAATTCGAATTTATAAGCTATAATTTAACTTAAATTATATAAGTGACAGCAATTAAATATGTAACAATCCAAAAATTATTTTTAAATTCGGTAAATGTTGAATAGAATAATGAACGTTTTCAATTTAATTTGTTCTTAAAATTAATTTTCATAAAAATGTGCATAATTTTTAATATAAACAAGGTTTACCACTTACGAATATTTATTTAACTATCTTCTCGTAGACATTTAAGTTTATTTTTTGTATAAATTTAGAAATTGTAGGCAAGATCACTGNAATTATATATATGTACAAATTATGCCTTTAGAACAAACAGTTCATTTTTTTGTGTTCTAAAACTTGATAGCATAAACATGGACATTTATAACAAGTCGTGTACTCCCATTAATACCTTGTTTCTTGGCAGGAATTGTTAATGTTCGAGTTATCCAATCACCCCACTTTATCTCTGGGAAATTTTCCAGGTGTGCCTTGCAATAACTCCTTAAATAGGGTAGAGGAAGGTGAATAGGGACATTTAAGATATTTTAATATGTTTCTTATACTCTCTTCACTTATAATTTATGTCTAGCTAAACAGTTAAGTTACTTAAAAATGGTAACATTAAATTTTCATGTTTTAGAATCTAAAATTTAATATTTTTAAAAAATTGTTAATAGTTGTTTTTTTCCCTTTATATCTACAATTAACAGTTATTAAATTCATAAATTTGGTTTATTTATAACCACATAAAAAGATATGAAACTTGTTATGATCCATGGCATTCTAAACCAGAAATTCTAAATGAACTTAATGATAGTTAAATCTTTCAGAAAGCTTCACTTTTAAACCAAGACAAATTCTATTGCAATCTTTATATTTACACATTAGACACTTATAGCCGTCGTTATGTATAAAATACGATTTATTTTTCTGATAATATAAAATTACGATTGTTTATTGCTTAAATTTAGCTTTAAGCCATACTAAAGTGAAATTTTTAAATGGAACGAAAAGCAAAAGTATGCTATTTCTTTAGATTAAATTTCTAATCTAATAAGGAAATTTATCACGACGATAACATCGGATTTTTAATTAAAATCTGATGTATTTGTAAAAATAATAAATATTTTTCATTTTTATTACGCGAATATCATTTCTATATTTAATTTCTTGCTTATTTTCTACTTATATAGTGTAATTTATGCAATATTTTGTAAATGAATGGTGATATCTTCATACATTTCTGTATATTTTTACATTATATTCTATGTTATAAATATCACATTTTACCAGAAAAATAAATACTTTTAATGCCTCTTTCTGCATATTGTTATATTTTAAATCTATATTTAAATATTCATTAAATTTTCTTGATTTAGATCTCTGTTTCTGAACAGCATTTGTGTAATATCGTATATATCAAAATGCATATAAAAATTATATTCTTGTAATCAAATTTAAATAAAATAACAACAAAATCCTCTTCCATTTTATGCAAAATGAATCTATTTTTTTAAATCTTTATTTAGATTATTAGAAAATTGCAATTTATATAAAAATCCTATATTAGTTATATATATTTTTAATTTTCAAAATAAATCAAATTTAAGCTAAATTTACAATTTAAAATATATTGTTTACATTTTTAAGATATTAAAATTTTAAATGAGATAAATTTCGATTAAAATTTTAAAACCAAATCAAATATAAGCTTAGTTATTATGGTTTAAATATCCAACTTATGTCAATGCTCAGATCATTTGTGTTTAAATTTATACTAATTTTAATAAATTCTGGGATTAGATACGTACATTCAAATCATTCATATGGATTGATTGAACTTTACTATTTCATATTTATGAGAATTAATGCACTCGATATTTCTATATTTAAATATATTTATGCAAAAATTAACAGTTATAATCGATAGCACGTATAGTAAAAAAGGGGGGAAAAAGAAGAAGAAAACAATTTTAACAGCTTTCTGAACGAGAAAAATCGATTGAAGTTTGTATTATTTTAAATTTTCGAAGTTAAATTGTATAAAAATACCAATTAATCCTTTTTTCTCGATAGTAAAAACTTTAATTTAAAAGGGGAAAAAAGTTATGTAGGAATATATATATATATATTCGGTGTAATAAAAGAATAGAATAATTGCTATGAATAAATTCAATTTTGGAAGTCTTTAAAACTATTCTAGTTAGGAATAAAAATGAATTTTATTAGAAAAAATATAATTGAAAAGAAATCACTGAAACTTCTTAAAAGACATAAATCAAGAGAGTTGCATTAATAAAAATTCTTATTCTGTTGAGTCATAAAAAATTTTTCTTTAAAAAAATTCACTATTTACTACATTTAGAAAATTGAAGAGAACTTTACTAAATGTTCAAGAAAGAATATTATTTTTTTATGGACACAGTAAATATACTATTGGACAATAATACAATCATATTTCGATGATCGTTCTCATATATATTTATATATATATTTATATTTATATAACTATTAACAACACAGGGAGATAATACAATATTAATATTGGCAGATGGAATTATCGTGATTGACTTTTTTTTTCCACGTTTATTATATTTATATATTTATATATATGTACAAATTATGCCTTTAGAACAAACAGTTCATTTTTTTGTGTTCTAAAACTTGATAGCATAAACATGGACATTTATAACAAGTCGTGTACTCCCATTAATACCTTGTTTCTTGGCAGGAATTGTTAATGTTCGAGTTATCCAATCACCCCACTTTATCTCTGGGAAATTTTCCAGGTGTGCCTTGCAATAACTCCTTAAATAGGGTAGAGGAAGGTGAATAGGGACATTTAAGATATTTTAATATGTTTCTTATACTCTCTTCACTTATAATTTATGTCTAGCTAAACAGTTAAGTTACTTAAAAATGGTAACATTAAATTTTCATGTTTTAGAATCTAAAATTTAATATTTTTAAAAAATTGTTAATAGTTGTTTTTTTTCCTTTATATCTACAATTAACAGTTATTAAATTCATAAATTTGGTTTATTTATAACCACATAAAAAGATATGAAACTTGTTATGATCCATCGCATACGTTCGTTCTTTTATTATATAATTTCATTAAAAAATTTGTAAAATATATATAACATATGAAAGACAATACATTATTTTAAAACGTGATAACAGTTCATTATCAATTGTAAACAATAAGTAAACTTCTTTTTTACACGAGAAGAACGTATAATACAAGCTGTGATTTTTAGAATATTAAAAAAATGACTTAAAATTCTTCACATCGAAACGAGTTCTGGTCAAGATACAGGCACTTTTTTCTAATAATACCCATATGACTGATTGGAAAATTGTAGTAAACGGACAACAGTACGTTTTTTAACGTTTAAATTCGGTATTTGCTCAGAGTTTATGTTACTTTTTCCTTTTTTTTTTACCATTTCTCATCCTATCTATTCTCCCCCTCTACCCTATATTCTTTGTCGTCGACTTTAAACATAACTTGCTGTCCAACAGCGATGTGATAGGGCAATCTGTCTTGAAAATGAAGACCTGTAAAGAATAAATTACATACACTTTTAAAATAGAACTAAATATATTCTATAATAAATCATTATTTAACAATAAAGTAGTTTTTACACTAAATATATATTTTTTATTACTATAATTAATGATATTATTTTTCATCTAAAAAACTATAAAAGAAATAATAAGAAAACAATTTTTAAAAAATCTGTAATTTTTCACTATTTTGTTTGGTATTTTATCAATTTTTGTACCTCTCGTAGAGAAAGAGATAGATAGAACTTTCATAACAAAGGAATTCCGTTCTAGAGTTTCATCAAAATCGGATCTAGAAGAGTTATAATATCAAAGATACTTCTCTATTTTTGTTTATATTTCAGAACATATCTGATTCAATTTGGCTGCTCCTCAATAGGATGACTTCCTATATATTTTTTTTATTATAAAGATTTCATATATATAATGTTTATGTCATAACATTTTATAAGAATTACGTACACTTCAAAGTTAGAAATCACTTTGAAGGACCGAGTTTTGATAATGCTACAGGAACTACTATAAGAGGATTTGCTACAGAATATGATCATACAACGTCGTAAAATCACGATATATAATCGAAAAATATTTCATAAATTTTACTACTTCTCATACGATCATATTCATAACTTGACTTCGAACTCAAGTTATATCATTCCAACTCTATATTTATTTATAGAAAGACGGAGCGAGATATGGCGACAATATATCCTTTAATAAATGAGAATTGACATATTTATATTAATGACATATCTTGCATGGATAATTAAAATGGTTAGTAGAATTAAAGTAAATAACAATAATTATTATTCGTTATGTATAAATAATTATTTAAAAATTTTTATTTGTAATAATAATAATAAATTAAAATGTTTTTCGTGATTTTATTAACATTTTTAAGATTAAAATCAATAAATAAAATATGCAATTATAATAACGTCAGTCTTCAATAGATGGCAGCATATGCTTAGACCATGCTAAAATGTAACTAAACACTCCATTTTTTTAATTAAAAAATAAATATTTAAATGTATTTAGAATTAGTTTTTATGCCTTATGAAATGTACTATTATTCAAATTTGTCTCCATTTTATTTTAGATTTTTCAAAAAGCTATTGTGTTGATATTCCCGTATTATAATATTACTGTGCAATTTTCTAGTAGAATAAAAAGAATATTAACGTGAAAATTGTTAATTAAATTTTCAAACTAACTTGTAGAAAAATGCTATTTAATCACTTTTGTACAATAAAACTGACAAGAAATAGTAAGCAATTTTCGTATAAAATGCCTTACCAAAACCGTTATTAAATATAAAGAAAAATGAAAGTAGAAATATTTTAATAAGTCTTTTCTATTCGTCGAGTAATAATTAGTATTTTACATTAAATGGAAGGAAAATAACAAAATACATTCCTTATAAAAATTTAATTAAATCCATCTAAAATTTGTAAAAGACTTCTTTAAATGCAAGCAAGATTTTCTAAAAGGATTTTTGTGTCTTGTTAATTTCTTTACTGCAACCAGATTAGTTTGCAGGAAATACAAATAAAAATTAGTGCCTGTTTCAACTTGATATTTGCTAATTTACGTGAAAACATTCGAAGAATCCATTTTCTTACTCACTTATGACCTAATTACAACAATTTAAACTAATTATATATATACTAAAATGAGATTAATTACATATTTTAAACATTTTACCATAAATATTTCGTATAATTTTCATTATATAAGCAATAATAGTTTAGTAATTAATTTTAGAATGTTGTATAAACCATTTGAGAAAAAAGGGGAACAAAACTTTATGCTAGATCTTTAAGAAATTTGTAAGTTAAATATTTTAAATATCCTATTGATTTGTTAAGAATTATCAGTAGAAGTAATGTATAAGAGAAGTTAGTTGGTGCAGTAATTATTAAAAATGCTTCAACAAAAATGCTTGTCATTTTCATATGCTACAAGTTTATGAATTGCATTTTGATGAGGATAAAAGAGACTTAGATAGCAACTTAGTATTGATTAAATCTGTAAAGTGTTTACTTCTGAAAAGAAAGAATTTAAATGTTTATCTAGAAAACTAAAATAGAAGAGATTATAGTACATATTCTTAACCAAACTCTAGAGATACAATTTAATCTACGCAAATACCTTCGACAAATACATTTCTACTGTAGACTATTGTTAATTTTAGTGAACAGATACGGTGTATTTCTTTTACAAAATGAATGTTTGTTCTAAATTCGTCTTATAAATAACCTCAGGTAAAGTCAAATATATATTTTCTTTTATGATTTTAGATAATTACAGTTTTATTTTAATAATTATCTACATTAAACAATTATTGTTTACTTAAGCTTTTATTGATTAGAGATGTGGAGAATTATCATATGCATCACTATTATATAATATTACACATTATACGGGTATAATTCCATAATTTTTTCTAAATGTTAGTTATATTATCACAATATTTTACATTATATAGAGTAATTTAAGCAAATATTGTTATTGTTCTCTACGTTATATTATCGTTAATATTATGGGATAGAGTCTACTCTAGGTTGAAGAAAGAAGAGAGGAGGAGATGAGAAACAGGAGAAAAGATCCCAGTAGAATACTGAGCAGAAAGGTAAATCGGAAAAAAATAGTTACAAGGAATTGTAATATCTAGCGTTTTATAAAGAAAATTAAAGCGTGTTTCCTTCACATTTGTGGAAATAATAAAAAAATATATAAAATAAAATACAATATTTGAATAAAATATTTGTTATGAACCCGAAAAATAATGCACAACAGTTATAAATACAAGAAGTAACAGCTCTACTAAAATAAAGCAATATAGAGTCGTTAAATTGAGTAATATAGCAAAAATATAACGTGGAGAAATTCGGAGAGTAAAAATAACAGCAAATCAAATTATTAGAGCTAAATTAATGGACTATATCATCGAACGAGGTTGTTGTCATTCGACTATAGAATGAATTGTATGATTAGCCATTACTAATGCTTATATTTGAATATGTTTCTTTGAATTTTTAAGAAATATTAATGTAACGAGTCATACAATGATTTATTTTAAACTTTTTCGCTTAGTTTTCTATTCGTATATGTAATTACTAGCTGTTACCCGCGACTTCGTCCGCGGACGTTTTGCAAGCAAACCCCATTTACATTCAATATTTCAATAACCATAGTAATTGTTATGTAACACATAACGCTGAAGAGAATTGCCGAGAATCAAACGAACTATTTTCAATTTGATCAATTTTCTGGAACGTTTACAATCGTTCTATAATCGAAACAATATGCAATAACAAATTCGAATTTAAAACGGTTCGAACATTTTTAAAATCGAAATAAATAAAAATATTTATAACAATGTCTGAAATGTTATCAATTTAATACACCTAAGTACTCAATGAAGACTAAATGTAATTGAAAACAAAAAATCGCATCTAAAATAGTATAGTAGAAGCCGTTTTTCCAGTTAAGACTTAATCCTCTCCCTCTCCCCCCCACTTGGGAATTTCGAAAAATCCCTTCTTAGTGTGCGTTTTCATGACGTACCCTAACTGTGTACCAAATTTCACCTCTTTAGGTTCAGCGGTTTGCTCTGGGCAATGATGAATCAGTCATCCATTCAGTCAGTCAGGACAAGTAATTTTATATATATATAGATTATTGATCTTTGAAACTATAAATTACAATAAATCATTCAACACTTGATGCTGAGAAAACGTTTATTAAAGAAAACATTAACGTCTTCGACCTAATATGATAGGCCATCTTTAGATGCAAGTATTCTCGAACGTATTTAACTTAATATTTAAACGTCAAAACGTTCGAATACTTTTACGTTTAAATTTAAATTACATTAAATTACGTTTAACTACACTATTTGCATTTTAACTTGTGGATTATGAGTCCTATCCGAAAATCGAGAAAAAATGGAAGAAAATTACTCGAAATTTAAATATATAAGTGAACTTTTATATGATAGTTAGGCTTAAAGATTTCAGCTTAATCTTTTAAAAATGACAGAGACAATATTTGCCGTAGTCATTCATAAACTAAATAATATAAAGTATCATACCTGGAAGAATAAAATTAAATAGACAAAAGATTTTATGGAATAATGTTACTACATTTCTCGAGTAACCCTTATGACACTTAAGAAACAGTAAATATGTGAATCAACTCGATCCATAGAAATTAGAGACAGTAATGGATAATTGGAGTATCTTAAAACAATACTATGAAAAATCAACTCTATTGAGAAAAATAAGCTCGCTGAAATACAATATGGATTCTATGACAGAGATAATGATGATGTGGGAGGATATGTGATGGGAATGGAAATATCTTTGTTCACCTTTTCAACTGTAGAATCGATGAACGTCGTTGTTATTCTTATGTGAGTAATCTGCCAAACAGTTATGCTGCATTAATCATCCTCCTGGAAACAAGACCAGAATGGGACCAACTCTGTAGTTAATGAAAAATAAGTTGGCAGAGGAAAATGTTCGGAGAAATGAAGAAGTAAAATGATGAAGATGAATGATTTTCAAAATAAGTATAGTTTTAAAGACAATTTCCTACAGAAATGAATATTCAAGTGGAAAACTACAGCACTGGCATGAAAGTTGAACACTTAGATAGTAAAGTAAATATAAGACGACAAAGAGAATCAAATCATCTAATAAAAATGGACAAATAAGAAGAGTAAAGAAATAAAGTCGATTATTATCGCTTCTTATCACAACATTGATACACAAGGATTGGAGCCATAACTCGCATAGGCAACAATAAAAAACTTCATCAGCAATTTAAATGAGAACATGTAAAGCAGATAGATTTGGTTAATGGAGATACCGTCATAATCAAGGCAGAGGAGATAGCTAATCAGCTACGAAACAGGAAAACCTTTGAACAATTTAATAACAATAAAGGATGTGCTTTATGTTCCGTTGCTGTCAAGCAGTCTATTATCGATGAGAAAATTGGCTAGTGCAGAATATAAAGTAGATTTCCAGAGCAATATTTGTCGTAAAACAAAAGACGGAAACAGTGTATATTAAGAATACATAGAGAAGTTTACGTAATAAACATTAATCAAGTCTCCGATCACGAGACGCTTGCATCTACAGTTTTTACACGAATGACAGGCCATATTACAGATAAACACAGTAAAGATACAATCAGAACGATCGGAAACAACATCGTATTTGACATGGAAATAACACTGCAAAGTGAAACTCATTTGAGAGCATTACATTTTAAATGAGACATGACAAGCCCATTGCTATGTGTCACACTTCAAAACGATCAAAAACTTTCATTTTATATAGACTTTTGAAGTTCTATACAAATACAAGCAAATACTTGGCGTTCAAGACAGTATAACAGTAATCGCTGATTGTAGAAGGTAGATAAAAACTTAGCATAAAAGCGAAATTGTGGAAAGAATAAAATGCTTCATCAAACAAGCGTAAACTCGATTTAGAAAGACTTCAGAATGTTTTAGTTACGGACGAAGAAATGAATATATGAATAAAGAATTCGTTGAACTGTTGGAAAAGAATAGAATAGTGAAAGTGCTAACCTTATTACAAATACAGAGGTGAAGGAATAGTCACAACTTCTTCAGAACAGAATAGGAAAAGAACATAAAATTCGATATGGAAAAACATAAGTGAACTTCCTTACATTCAAGCATTCAAAACACTAAACTTTAAAAATTGGAGCACATGTAAATAAATAAAGCGATTTTTTGGGATATGAGCTAGAACAAAAGGATACAGATTATATTGTCAATATTCGGATCTAGCAAAGAGCGAGTCGAGATGTATTTTATGCTTTTTGACTTTCACTATAAGATAGATATGTCACTGCATTCATTTTCTCGTCAAGTTGACAACGGAAATGATGAAAGTTAAATTTAAAGCTGAGCTTCCAAACATCTCTATTGAAGAGCAAGGGAACATAAGATGAGTCTCTAGAGATGAATACGAATAAATATAGAAGTATAAGGAGAATATATACTTATAGTTAAAGCAATGAGCTTAAAAAAAACAAGTTGTTCATGGTATTGAATTTATCACATATAATTCTTTTATATTAAGTTATACTAGCTATATTAGTTATATACTGTATAATGCTATATTTATATTAAACATTTTAATAATTTCTAAACTTACAATAATGCTTTTGTTTCCATATTTAAATACTGAATATTTATATGAGAATAACAAAGGGATTTGGCCAGAATACTCCTTAAAGTGTACATATTTAGAGCTATCTAAATGAGACAAATATTTGACAAATATACTTTATACAGCGTCAAGGAGTCATGTTTTGAAATAAATTAAAATGAAATGTTGTTTGACTTTAAATTACTATTTGTTCTTTATATATGTATATATATTATCGATTCTTAAAATGTGGTCATTGATTAGCTTACCACAAGAACTGATAATGCAAGAGTAATTTATTTGTCGTGTGCTGCTTAAGAGTTACACAGTATTGTTTCTATGTGCTTACACATTCATCATTATTTTTTCAATGTTTTGTTCATTATTAAAGAGAAAAGTGTAAACAGTTAGAAGTAAATTATATTTTATTTTGCTAATGCTAGTGATATCGATCATGTTTATCTTTACATAACAAGATTAAATAAGAAATAAGATCCCTTCTTAGACTCTACTCTGTATATAAAAGTACGCTTATTTTTGTTCTTTTATGTAAATTTACAATACTTCAAGCATGGTTTCGTCCATATAAGACATTTTTTATTATATTAAACGGTTTATAAGTTCATTAATCGTAAGTTAAAGCATAAAATAATTCAAAAAAGAAGGCGAATTTATGAACACGTTATAGAGTAATGCATTCTTATAGTTTTAAACGTTTATATTTAGTAAATTAAAATGATCTAAAACATATCCTTTGAGGGAAAATTCCATCTGCATATGAAGTAGAAAATGAAAGTTTATAAATTTAGTAAAACTTTTGCAAATTACATGAATATAATTAGCTACTCTATACTCTTATATAATTAACATAAAGATTTAGTTAAAGTAATTATATTTATTTTAGGAAGTTTAACATTGTTGAAAAAGAAGTAAGTTAATTATGACTATCATAAATACAGTCTATCTAAATATTGTTTAAAAATTAATTTAGTGGTATCTAAATTAAAATTAATTAAATGACCTTTCAACAAAATTTTTAACCATAAACTTTTTTTATTTTTGTAAGAAATTAGTCTTTAAACTATACACTTCCTCATAATTTCTATTGAACATTTCTGATTTATGGAAAATGTAGACTATAAACTATTAATTATAAATTATATCTAATTTAATGAGGCTAAATATGAAATGTATAAATAAAATATTAAGTTAAAACCTGTTTTTCCAATATCTAAGTTATGAATTTTAGTGTAATTTACGTCAAGTGTAGGCCTTCACCAGGAAATTTATTGCAATGTATTTAAAATAAATATAATTTAATAATTAAACAGAATTTTTATAGATTTATCATCTTTTAGATCTGATCAAGAACTATAAAACAAAAGGAAATACCTCAAATATAGATGGATATTTTCTAAACTTTCTTAGTCTCAGAAACATTTGTATAGAATCATTTATATAATATTATAAATTGATTAGCTATTATGTGCAGCTGCCTCTCTAAAAGTTCATTTATTATTGGATATCATTAATCTTCTGACGTGATTAATAAACGAGGACTAGATACTAGATATACTGTATCACCTCACCATTATAAATAGGTAGGATATAACAAATTTCTATATCAATTTATATTTTATATTACTTTCTGTAGTTCTTAATATATCTAAAATTTGTTATATTCGTTCATAACTTAGAAAAAATTATAAAACTGCTTGCTTAAAATTATAAACAAGTATAATTTTTACTTACTATTATTTTGCATTATTATATTATAAAGTATAAATTTAATTCCTCAAAATACAGATAAAATTATATTGTCAAATAGTCCTTTCTGGTTGTAAATTTGTCATCAAATACGAAATAAATAATTTTAAAGTGTCCCTATTGTTTTCTTTGTCACTTATATTATTAGCATAACTCTATATCAAAATTAATTAACATCAGATATGTACTGTACGAGAATACCTATTTTGGACTTGAATACAGTCAAAGTTAATGTAAAAAATTCTTAAATACAAAAATATTAAACCAATTTTTACATAAATATACAAATAAAACAGATTTTTATTGCTGCCAAAGTTATGAAATAGTTCACATTTTCTCATATGATGAATCATTTCAAGCTTAACTTCTAATTAGATTTTTTTTTTAACATTAAAGAATTTATTGAAAGAAGAGAGACAAATTTGTCTGCTACTTTATATGCACAGATTGATTAAATTTTAATACAATTCATCATAATTTGTGTAATATAACATCTCGTGTTCTGTTGTACAGGTTGTATATAGTAGTATACAAGCTGCTACAGGTTGTATATTGCAACACTCTGCAGTATAATGCAAACAAAAGGATCAATATTTTGGAAAGAGAATGTAGACAATACTTGGAATTTGAAAATATGATATAATCGATATAGGCTATGTATTATAATTCAATGCAAGAGAAGAGTTCAAACTTTATAAATTAAAAAACAATTAAAAAGATTAATATTCTCAGTATACTACAATCAAGTATTAATTATACAGATTAAGAAACACTCTTTAATTGTATAAACTTTCCATATCTTAACGAACAGTTTATTCTTACATCTCTCTTATTAATTGATGTTACAATTATAACGATAATATTATTGTTATTATTTCAACACTCGCTAGATTTGTAATATCTTAAATAACATTTAAAATACTAATTTTTGATATGAATTATATGTGAAAAATTAATCAACTTACTCGAGTCTCTTTCAAAATCTAATAGTTGATCTTGGTCGCATTCAGTATCACTATTTTCTACAACAACTGCTAACTGGCTTGTTCTGTAAGTATCCCTGTATGAATACCGTCCATGGTCCATCTTGTGGTATCTATCAACAATTTTTCATTAGTTTATCCATTATGACTATAAAAAATTCATAATTATTAAACGATTTAAACTATATATTAATAGTATACCATTTAATAATAAAAGCCGAATAGTATCCAAACTTTTCCAGGTATTAATAACTAATAATTATTATTTTACATGTTAATTTAATAAATTCTAAACGCATTATACATTTTATTATTAAAAAACATTTTAAAATTAGTATAAAAATCATTAATGTGCACTTTTTTTCTAGAAATTTTGTAAAGCATTTATAATTTTTTTTTAAATATTCTTTTATAATAAAAATAAAAGAAAGAAAATAAAATAATAAATATTAAATTTGGAAATTAATTTTATCAAAAGTAAATATTTAAAAAAATAATAATAAAAACAAAATGATTGTTTGAATTAAGAAGAGCACATTGAACAACAAAACTTGAGGCCCACTACCTCTTACCCCTCCCCAGATGGTTTAGCATTGGGACCACCTTGTTTAGTACTGCAGTGCCATCTGGTGTTGCTTGGAATTCTACAACGACTCATATTGCTACTGGGAAATTCGTCGTCTACATCTGATGACCATCTTCTAGATGATAGATCCTTGGTCGTCGAACTCGAGATTGATTGGTATGTAGTACGACCTGAAACACAGGCAGAATGAGAAAATAACTATATATACATACATACACACAACAGAGGAAAGGTAATAATGTTTATTAGGAACCGGTAACATACAAATGAAGTTGATCAGAAAGAATCTCTCCTAATCAAAAAATATTAAATTCGATTAAGAAAAGAAATATCTAGAACCGAAACTTGATGACTAAAGTACATCGAGCGCTTTGTAAATAGATTATTTTTACCTATCCAAATTGATCGTATCATCCTACAAAGTTATATAAAGCAATAATGAAATGTAAGGATCCATATGATCAATTCTAATCATTTCTGGGAATTTTATTTATGACAGCAATTCCCTGGCTATCAGATAATGCACCTTACAAATTCAATTAAAGAAGGTAAAAGTTGTTCCTTAGTAAGAGAAAAGGTAGAGAAAAACACGGAGCTTCATCAGCATCATTCTATTATATCCAACTATAATCATTTTATAAATTATAGATATATTTTTTTTTTATTTTTATTGTTATTATTATATTTAACAAGAAGTTAGAAAAAAATTACCAGGAAAGCTGTACATGTGATCCACTTCTAATTGCAAGGAACTGTCCCTCCCACTTTTTTGATGACTAGATATATTATTTGACTAGAAAATAAAGAAAGTTTTACATGTATTAAGAGTAATTATTTTAATTTATCGCTAAATAGGAAAAAAAATTATTAATGCCGATTCAAATTATCGGTTAATTACTTTGTTATGTAGATAAATAAAAGCAATTAATTGTAGCAGATGTTGTGTACATTTTTTCACAAATTGTTGATGCCCGATTGTTCTTTAGTAAATTTTATTTTAAAATGAAAATATTTTCTTTTTTATAGTAAAATATTTGAAATTTTTCAAAAAATGCAAGCTTTAAACGTATATATCTAAGGAAAAAAAATTTTTTAATAATTTTCTGTTATACAGCTATTTTAATATAAAGAATATCTTTAGAAGCTATGATACGGAAGAAGAAACGAGATAAAGCAATATAACTTTTACAAGAAATGAAATATTCCTCTGAGTTATGTTTTAAATACATTTTTACGTAGTAAAAGTTAATAAAGGTCGTAAAAATATAATTAAATCTAGAAGAAAAAGCTGTTAATTACATACAAACAAACCTCTGAACAATATTCGCGGCAGAAACACAAAAAAATGGCCGTTGCTTAAAGGTTTTTTGTACGCATTTTTCTTTAAAAAATATGCTCCCGAAAAGAAAATGGCCACTGTTTAGAGGTGGTCGTTGTTTAGAGGTTCGACTGTATTAAACTATCTTGTATATAATTCTGTTGCTACGAAGCATTCTTTTTAAATGATTTAATGTAAAAAATGATTAATGCAAATTTATTTCATTTTCAAGAAATCGAATTCAATATTTAAATTTTTACACGTGCTGCCATCTGTAGATGAAATTATTAAGTATTTTAAGAAATAATTATTATACAGATTTTCATGCAATTAAAGTGAATTATTTTTATATTATTTTTAAAAAATTATTAAATTAATTTTTTTAAATTGTATTTAAAAACGAATTAAAACGAGAGATAAATTTCAGCGAAAGGTAACGTTTTAAAATAAATTTTTCAATGAAATTTTCATTCGTAAGCTCAAAAAAGATTGATCGAGAGATTCAAAAACAAAGAAAAAAAAGTAAACCAAAGGAACGATAATCTGTTGAAAGTGAAAAGGATGTAATGCTGGATAAATCGATTTTTTACACAGTTTTTCTTTAAAAAGAAAAGAAAAAGTTTTAAAAAAATTTTAATTAAATAAAGCTGAAACTTTTCCTTTATTTTTAATTTAGTCATTTTTCATAAATTCACTTCACTACAAAAATATTTTAAAATTTTCTTGTTCAAAAAGAACAAAAATAATATCGTGTCAAATATTACAGTACATGAAACTTCTGTAGGGAAGAAAAAAAACATAATAAAAAATAAAATAAAATAAAATGATATATATGCGGAAGAAAACATCCAAAAATATCAGATACTGTACAGATTTTAAAATAGAACATTTACGTGCAAATATTTTAGAAATTCTTCAATGTAACAGCGTATAAAATATTCAAAAATAAAAAAAAAACATGCAATAAATTTATATTTCTAAATAAATTAATAACAATTTCTAACTGAAAAAAATTTAAATCATTATTAATTATTACTTAATTTAATAATAAGCTAATTTAATTAAAAGTTTTAACATTTTTTAAACATTAAAATCGATTTAAAAGAATTAATTTTTATTTTGTATAAACGTTCCCAGATGGCGACACTGGAGAAATGCAGTTTTTGTTTTATGCATGGAGGAATATGTAAGCTTGTGTAAAGGCGAATATCATATGATTTTAAATATGAATAATGTTTAGAATGTTTAAATTATAAACATAAAAGCGACAGAAAATAGAAAAAGGAAAGAAGAATAGAGAATTTGAAATGGAAAAATAAGCGTACAGGCGTTAAAAATAGGAAAAATATACAGAGGAATTCGCATATAAATGTGTATAAAAGTATAAAGCATAAGCTTAGAACTGTATATAATAGTCACTGAAGTAAAAAATCTAAGAATAAAAACAAATAAAGTAAATATGAAAGAATCAAAAGTGTGAAAGATGAACGTCGTTTGCATTAAACCGTAAAATATTAAGCGTAAATACAAGGTCTAATATCGAAATGTTATATAAAAATACATGGAAATAAAGAAAGAATTACATTTAATTCTTAATTTAATATTAAATAATTCTTGGAAAAAAACCATGAATAATCCTTAATATTACATAAAATAATTTAAAATAATGGCATAAAATATAAATTAACTTCTTATTTTCGACTAAAAATGGAAAATTATATTCGTCCTTAAAATATTTGCTGGAAAAAAATATAGAAAAATGCTGTACTTTTAAATATTCTTGAAAAATATTCTTAGAATATATGTTTAGTTTATAAGTAAAAAATATTTTTGAAAAAATAAACATGTTTTTAGATATATAGCGTGATAGACAGACACTTTAAACATTTAAAATTTTCATGTTTATCCTATAATTTTCAAGAATAAATTTCAAACATAAGTGCAAACCGAGATAAACCTTTATTTTTAATAATATCGTTAGAAGGTGATAATACCATTTTTCTCCTTCTAAATGATTTAATAATTTTTTTATTGATCTACATAAAATGTGAATAAATTGAAAATTTTAATACTTTCAATATCTAAAAGTGGAATTTTAAACATTTTATCCATTTAAAGAATGGAATTTATTGTAAGTTTACGATCTTATTCGATATTTCTCTTATGAATCAATAATATGATTACCTGTTTAACAGCGAATGGAACATCGTATGCTCTCTCTCCGTCGTGAAGAGATATAGAACGTCCGTCTGTACTGCTGTCTCCACTACTTCTATCTTCTCTGTTAAATACAGCTATGCGACTAGTTGCATAAGGCGATGGAAAATACAAAGGTTCTTTGTGTACGTAACTACCTTCTGTTTGCTTAGATTCGAAGTCAGACATTTGCATCACTTCACTAACTACGTCTTTGCGAATGTTTCTGGGTTCTAAAAGTATTCGTTATTTTAATTATACATTTTTCTTTGCTCTCCCTTTTCCGTGGGTCATGTATAATTTATAAACAGAAACAAAGGATTTTTACCTTGGTATTGATGATCTGCCTGCCTTCTTCTTCGATTCAATATGCAAATTGCAACGCACACTGAAATTATGATGAGGAAAGTGACGATGACTGGTGCCATTATGGCTAAGTTAGTATAAAAAGGTGCAAAACTTTCCACGATTGGCATTAATGGAGTACCTTTAAAAATATGTAAAGTGCATCACTCAGTTGCTATACTTTAAAGCTTCTAAACTATATTTTCTTTTATCAGAAACAAAATTTCAATACATATACGAAAATTGAACTATATAATAAGATACATTTATATAAAAATTTTATATTTTCTCAATATTTCATAGTTTTTTTATTAAATTTATAATGAAGACTTTCGTTACTTTTCCATATTTTTAAGAAAACAGTTATAAAGAATTTAAATGTCTAGTTTCTTATTTTAAAAAGTATATAAAAATTATATTTTTTTAAAAAGATTCTTCGCCGATTTTTACATATACGTATATAAAAAATTAAAAGCAGAAATTACTGAAGCATGTTATAAAACAAAATGAAGGGACAGTTATTCTATAGTCTAAGATATCTTATGATAAATTCCTTTAATTTGAATTTTTATTTAATATTATATAATATAGGTCCAAGTTAAATTTTTAAAAATTGAATCAGCTTCTAGTTTGTTTGGAGAAAGAAAAACGAACAAAAAAGATAAATATAAAAACTTGCAGCAGCTTACACTTGACTACAGAAAGATTTCCTACAAAAATTTCAAATTTCTAATTCGTAGAAATCAGAAATATTTCCCGTATGAGAGAAAAAGTAAAAAAAAAAGTAATTGATTTTCCTTCAAAAAAGCGGTTAACAAGTAAAAAAAAATTCGAATGTTGGCTTCAAAAAACTCAATTTCACTATAAAAAAAAATTTTTTTTAAATGTGATACTTTTTTAGTAAAAAAATCAAACATTTACCCCTTTTAATTTTAAGAATTTCGTTAAATATATAAATGTTACAATATACAAACGGAAGAAGAAAAAATTCTGTTGAATTAATTTTGAATAAGAAAATCATAAAATCAATTAGCATTATTTTGTTTCAAAATCAGCTTACTAAAATTCTTTATGAAATTATTAAAATCTATTAACTTTTTAATTAATTTTAATTTAGTGAAGATAATTTGGAGTCAAAATTAGTCAGATAAGCACCCATCAGTGATATAGCCAAGAATTAAATTTGATATGGACTAAACTTAAATTACAGGAGTCATAAACGTTCTTATATTTTAACACAAGCATTAAAACGACAGAAAAATCTGTATTTAAATTTAATTTTTTATGAGACTTATAGTCCTTACTTAAGAGAATAACCTTAGAACTATTATATATTTTAAAGATATAACATTCTAAAATGTTATTAAGATCACTAACTCCTGTATTCCTGTATAAATGCTCTATGGAACAAACTATAATCAAGACAAACCTCGATGTAACATCCTCCTAAATAGAATCACCCTCGTAAAGAAAGCTCTTAATGAATAGCTTACTTGTGAATAAATCTTCCTCATAAATATAAAATAGATATTGTTTGAGTTACGCTACAAACAGTGGCGTTAAATCGAAGTTCGAATTTATTTAACATACATTTAAACAAACCGAATGCTTCGTAACTTTCTTATAAGTCAATTTACGATTTACATGATAAAAATAAACGACTTTAATAAAAAAAAAAGAAGAAGAAGAAGATTAAACTGAACTGTACATGGATTGATTTAGTAATCTAGATGAAAAAACTTTCATATATATTTCTTCAGCTATCTGTCTAGATATTATTACGTGCTTCCATGCTTCATTATATCTCAATAATGAAGCATGAAATAGTAATGTTAAATTATACTGACCCGTTAAAAAAAAGTGTTGATGGCAAGAATCCAAGAGCATTAAATGTACTAAAAAAAATAACAAATCAACAAAAATCTTCGGAAATATCGTCTAAAATACAACTGTAAAGTCGTAGCAAATCTAAAAAGTAGATAGTAATGTGTATTCAGGAAATGAGAGAACATTTACAGCACTTAGTGTGTAATGTGTTATAGGTAAGTTGACTTTTTCGTGTTTATTCTTTTGCTTATTTTTTGCGGGTCATCTTACTTTACAGGTCACCTTTTAAGGCATTTTTCTTTAAAAAGATTTATTTTGAAATAAATAATACATTAATTTTTTTATATATTAAAACACACAACTATTATTTTTATATTAAATATTTAATTTGTAATTAAAGTTTAAAGTTCTTTCCACATTTTTTATTTATTTTTATTTTTATGTAATTCGAAAAAATCAATTTACATAACAAAAAGTGAAATTTAAGTATTTATTTATTTTTTAATTAAGTATAACTAATTTTAATTTATTAACTTTTAAATTTAAAAATAAAAACTTTTCTANTATAATTTTATAATATTTAAAAAAAGTTTTTTAAGCTGAAAGATGAAAAATCTTAACGAGATGTCGACTTAAATTTTCTTCTCCGAGGCGAAAAACTTCAACATTTGAATAAAAAATAATTTTAAAATGTAAACTAGTCTTTGATAAAACAAAAATACAAAAATAAATATAAAATACATTTTAAAACGTAATTAAATATTTATTTTAAATACGTTATTAACGTGAAATATTGATTTATTATTTAAAAAATTCAATTACAATTTTAATTAAAAACTTCCCATGTAACTTATATGAAGAGGGAAAAACTTCTTACATTATAATAGAAATAAATTAAACTTTAAACAAATTATTAATTAAATAATATTAATTTAAAATAAAAACTCCATCACAAATTGATAAATATTTCATAAGCCAGGAGATCTTATGAATCGAATTCTTAAGCAGACAGTGCTAGAATCTTTACTATAAAAACATACCCGTGCTTAGCTATGTGGCTTGTAGAATTGTCATTCTTCTCATTCCTTATCAAAACAAGAATGTCTACAGAAGTAGAGAAAATGTCACTTGACTGGTGATAAATAACTGACTATGTTATAAAAACCCCTAGACATATCCTGAAAGTGATTTCACGACGTATAATCACCTGAGAGAGAACAAAGGACACGTTATCACTTTCCTAGCATTATATAATAGAAAGTAGCTCCTCTATGGGTTGATGTGATGTAGTACGGCAAGGAATTTCATTACCCTTTATGTTATTCAGAAAAACAAGACTGATATGCATAGAGAGAGAATAGTATTTGAGACCCAATGTAAGAATATACGTGAAGTTATCAACATTTCTATTATGTACAGTACAATAATACAGTCTTCATTCTGTCCAGAAATATCATAAACCACAAGAAACGGTTATACAGATACAATTATGTACGAATGCTTGAAAGTGCGCCTTGTCATTCGAATTTAAAGCTTAATAGAATTACATTTACTTTTATCCATTACTAAAAATTAAAATTTAATTTATAAATAGCCTAAGATAAATTATATTCATCTTATTTTAATCTTATACCTCCATTTTATATCTTAAAAAAATTAAATGAAATGAAGTAACTCTTACTAGAGAATAAGTTTAAAATTGCATGCACATAGCATAAATTCCTAAAAGTTTTCAAACAATTTAGTTTATTGTTTATCGATCTTGAATTTGTAAACCGGATATTCTACTAAATTCCGAAATATAAGAATGTATATATTTTCTTTAAAAAATAATATAATTTATGCTATTTTTAAAATAAAAAATAATATATATTAATTAAAAAATTGAGTCCATCTTTCATGGATTTATGAATTCATGAAAGATGAACTCAATACTTCTACATCTTTCATAATTTATAAATTCCTAAATATAAAAAAGTCCATAAAATATCCAAAATATTTCTTTAATAAAACTCTATCATATATATATATATTTTTTGTGATTCTGAAATAACTTACCATCCATGTAATGTAAAGTATTGAATGTGAACTCCGCTTCAGTAGAACCGACTTCGTTGTGTGCAGTGACGTGAACTCTGTACCACGTACCAGGCGACAACCCTTCTAAATAAAATACATCGTCTTCCGGTGTCACATGATCGGAAACTAAATTCCATTCATGATCCGTTTCCGGTTTGCACTGAATGACAAAGAAGTTGATAGGACATCCACCGTTGATCCATTCGTTCATTCTCAATGCTGCAAAAGTCGTGTTGACCCGAAGAAAATCACTCTGAGTTGGCGCTATAGGAACTTTATAAGATAAACAATAAATTAAGTCATTCTTTAAGAAAATGTGGAAAGTTTTAATCAGATTTACTAGATAAAGGGAGTAGTCTTTATCTAGTAAATATACGTACCAACTCCTTGAGTCTTTGCTTTAACAACATCACTCGGAATACCTTCACCAACTTCGTTATAAGCTGTGATAAGAAAGTGATAACGTGTACCGCAATGTAATCCTTGAAAGTTATAAGATCTTTCTTTTCCAGATAATTTATTTTCTTTCCACGCACCCAATTCACGTTTGTGCTGCAACACGAATCCTAAATTTACATCAAAAGAACAAAAGGTATTTAAAGTCGTCGTAATTTAACTTAAGGTTACTAAGCTTCTTTAACAAAGAAGGCTTAACAAAGAATCCTATAACACTCACCTGTTATAGGATTTGATGAATCCTTTTTCACGTCCCATTTTATCTGAATTGAGGAATGCGTTGAAGAAACTATAGTGATTTTCGGTGAAAGTGGAGGATCTATATTAAGATAAAATTACAACATTAGAATGGGTTAATATCTACAAATAATTGCCTATAAATATTTATTTTTTATTCGAATTTTTAATACTGTTGAAAGAACGTTTACAACTCTGTCATGTCGAGCGTATAAACAGAGATTTTTAAATTATGGCGTTCTCTTTTTAAATTAATAATAACTTTTCAAACGTCCTTATAACTTTCATCAATTTTAATAAATAAATTTTGCCACATTTATTATGTAAATAATGTGGAATCGAGTGGAAGACAGTACGATTAATGCACTCTGTCAAGTTTGTCTTTAGAAAACATTCCTTTTTAGCTGCTATTTTATTGAATTGTTTACACAAAAGACAAATTCCACCTCAAAGTTCATTTACTTCCTCCTTGTCTTTTATTGTATAAACTCTTCTTAACTTTAAAACTTATCCATGTAATCCATTAATTCCAAGATTCAAAGCCATTCTTTCTTATGGTAATTTATAGAGTATTCGAAAACGGCGATACTTTCGTACAGTTTCTTATCAATATAATTGTTTATAACAAAATATACTTACCATTATCTTTAGTTTGTACAATGATTTGATCAGAAGGTGGGCCTGCGCCTATACTGTTAAATGCTTGTACTATTATACTATATTTTGTAAGGCGATTTAAATGATTTATCGTGCATTCGTTCTTAAACTTATCCGTAATTTCTAGAGTTTTGTATGTATAAGGATCACCAGAACCGTGTACACGATAGCCAACATAATATCCTTTCAACTGTCCATGTCTCAAATGCGTTTGGGGAGGCTATAAAATGGACAAAAAATACATTTTAAAGGATTATATAAATGTATTATTATATAAAATAAAACAATTGATCTTCTTTTCAAAAAATTCTCCTCTTAAGAATATTCTATTTTTATCTAGAATGTTTAAATAGGTACTGTAATCTCCTGCATTGCATAAGTNTGTGAAAATTAATTTTTATTGCAAGTTTTCTGTTAATCTGTTGTTTTAATATTTTAAATATTTTGTTTAATATCTAATCACTAAAAAAAAGTAGAGCTTTCTTGCCTTAAAAGATTTTATAGTTTCTTTTAAGCTGTTTAGATTTTTAAATTCATTCATTATGAAGTTAAGAATTTTCACAACCAGGAATAAGAATAAAATTATATAAACTTGAGGAGAATGTTAATTAATGTTGAAAGTTTCTTTATTCTATTGTGTGGTTTCTTTTAAATTTATACAATTATGGTACTTGCCAAATCTTGAATTTGGAAGCAGCAAAATGATCAGTTAAGTGTAAATTAATAGAATAAGAACGATTTTTTTTATGTCAAAGTATTATTAATCTAAATGAAATGTAGTGTACATAATATACTCATTAGATTACATTTACCATAAAAATATATTTAAAGTTAAGATAAAATAATTGTACTATGCAATTAATTTCTACTAAATATGAATAAACATGTGATTTGTTTGTTGCAGAAATATGTAATTTAATTTATATATTTGTCTGAATATGCATTTTAATAATAAAAAGATGAAATGTGTATTTTATTAGATAATGTTATCATTTTTAAACATACATCATGTCTTAGTTAAAAGATATATTGTGTTAGGGCAAGAGTAAATTTGAATAGTTGCATTTTCTGTCAAGTAATTTGTCTATATTAACTAACTAAATATTCTTTTTTCATCTAAATATTTGTGTAAATACTTGACACATTTTTGAAAGCAGTGTGTAAAACATATTTGTTTTTAATAATATATTTAAATTTAGACAAGAGAAGAACTGAAAGATGCATTAGAAAATGAAATTAGGGCTTTTAATATGGATAGAGACCTAAGCAGAAATACTGTTATTTCTTGGAACCATACAGAATTTGAAATTCATTATCCATCTTTAGTAGAAGAAATCAAAATAGGAGATTATTATTTGCGTTTATTATTAGAAGAAGATGAAAGTGATAGCGCTGGAAATTCGCGAATTAAACGATCGTAAGTTTAATTATTTCTTTATTATTATGTTTAATTGTTTAATATTTTTAATTAGTTTTTTAAATAGTCAATTATTTGTATGAAGAATTTTTGTATTGATGATAAAAGCAATTGTAACTTTTTCAAATTTTTGATTGCTGGTTATCGTGCATGTTCTATTTGAAATCGCTAGCATAGCTAGATTATATAATAGCATTATATAATTATATTTCAGAAGCCCTTTAATAGTAATTATTAACATTCTTTTGAAATTTAATATTGAAATGTTTACTAAAGAGAGAAAATATATTGAATTATTGAAACAATTCTTTAATTGTTTTTCATTTATCATAATATCATGTATTTTAACATATTTAAAATTATTTTTTAGTTATGAATTCTTCAATGATCTTTATCATCGATTTCTTTTAACTACAAAAGTCGCAATGAGAGCGATGTGTCTGCAGGCAATGGCAATCGTCTATGGACGGCATCATGAGGATATAGGTCCATTTAATGATACACGATATATAGTAGGAATGCTGGAAAGAGTTAAGTTTCTTGATTTTATAGAAATATAAATTTGATTTCATACACTGTATCTAGTAGAGAAATGGTCTTTACTTTAATTCATTGAGATGAAATAATATAATAGTCTTCAGATATTTAGGGACTAAAAAATGAATTTTAGGCATCTAAAAAGGCACTAAAAACATAAAAGTTGTCAGAAATAGGCATTTAAATTGAAATGGAAAAAATATGTGAAGTAAAAAATATATTGAAACAATTTTTCAGATGATAAATGAAAAAAAAATAACAGTTAACAACAAAAAACTTCATTTTGCATTGATATTAGTGGTATTTCAGTAATTAAAATTTTTATTTAAGTTCAAATTATAAGTAAGATCAATTTAATTTGTTTATAATGAAAGCTATATATACACATTCTATCTTCCTGCGTAGAGTGTGGATAGAACAGATGTAAACATTTTAAATGAAGTCTCGAGAGGTTTGTCACAATCATATAAGCTTGAAGTCAATTGAATATTTTAACAAGATATCGTGTATTGGATGATATAAATCTCTTACACGAAGCAAGAAACTTCATATATATATAGTGAATTGCTTACAAAATTTTATTTCAATAGATTCTTCGACTCACGAAACAGATTTCATCAATTTTCGGAAGAAGGAAACGAATTTATATTAACTATTTTCAATAGAATAAAACTGTAAACTTTACCAAAAATTTAAAGTTATATTTAATTATTTTATTTTAAGATAAAAATTAAAAAATATTTTTTCCGAATCCAATTTATTTTTATGAAAATATATTTATTAATTATCAAAATATGGATTTTTATTACAGAAATTTACCTTCCATATTCGTTGTAACTGTAATTGTATTACTTGGATCGCTTCTCCCAAAACTATTCTCTGCAAATAGTCTAATATGATATGTAGATGCAGGGTTTAAAGATGATATAGTTGCCTTTGTCTCCATACCAGCAGCGGTAGTTTGTTTAACTCCACTACTCCAATTTTCTAAAAATTAAAATCAAACTTATTCGCAAGAAAAATTTAACATTAAAAATAACATTTCGTTTTTAATTATTTTAATTATTATATGCATAATTAATATCCAAAAATAAAGTTAGAATAATTACTTTAAGTTATCTTTATAATTATGTATAATTTTCTATAATTTTTCCATCACAATTTTCTACGTTAATAGTGACAATTTATTTGGATCAAGAATAGAATATGAATTAGAATGTGGTAATAAATTACTTTATCCTTGAATTGTTATTAGTTATAGAAATAGAATATAATCATTATTAACCTTTATCTGTTTTGTACTGTACTATGTATTGCTGGATTGGACTATTTCCTGAAAATGGAGGAGACCAAGAGATGATTACGTGTCTGCTTTCTGTTTCTGCTACTGATACTTTTAAAGGCTTGTCTGGTCTTTCTGAAATTTAATAATAAATTTTAGAAAAAATTAGAAATTAAATAATTATTATTATTTTAAATATAAAAAGTCATCTTTCACATGTTTCCGAAATTAAGGCTAGTGTGAGTATTATATATGAGACAGTTCTTGTTATTTTTTAAAAAAAACGTTTATATAATGAACATTTTATTATAATATACTTTTATTTTAAGTAAATAATTAACATATTACTTTATAATTAATTCTCTAAACTACATTTATTTTAAATTATCTTCCAATTTTTTTAAAATCCTTTCTCGCGAAGGCCTTAAATTCGTACTGTCATACAGTATACATTTCATAATGTGAGCAAAATTCCAGATAATAAAAATAAATAATTCTAAAATATAAATGTATTAAATATTAATTTTAAATTTTAATAA